TATCTGGAGAATGGGGCTGTTTTCAGAGAGCCCCCTGGGGCCCCACATTTCCTAACCCCGGCCCTGCATGGAGGAGCTTTACTTCAGTGGATCAGGCTGGTGATCTCAGCGTTTACACTAAATATGCACTTTTCCACAGCTGTGTGGTGTCACGCTCTCCACGCACCAAGGGGCGTGGAGCTCCAGCAGCAGCCGCGAGGAACTCTGCTGGAGTCAAACCGTGGAAGTGAGAAATCCCCGCGTGGCTCCATCACTCTGTCCGTGGATCTAAGGGCGTGTCCCCGGCTGTCTGAGCCGCTCACAGGGACCCCACCCACCCACCCACCCACCCGCAGCCTGTTAGCACATCTGTTAGCCCAGCAGCCTCACCTTTAATAACGTTGCTGTAGATGGTGGCCCTGAACTCCTCCCTGGCCTTCTGGTCGAAGTCCTCTCCGTGGATAATCCGCATCTGTTTGAGGAACGTGGACTTGCCGCTCTCTCCCGCTCCCAGCAATAAGATCTTTACTAACCTTTTAACGTAGGTTTTATCTCGGTGGATGCATTTATCTATCTCCTTAGACTTCTGCAGCTGCTCTGCCTCTCCGCTCGTGAGGAAACAGTTAGGAAAACAGAGCGATAGCAGGGAGCGGGACGGCAGGAAGTCCGCCATCTTTGAAGCAACTTCATCGATACAGTTAGAGAGGAGAGCTGCTGCTGCTGCCTTCACGGCCCATCCGGACCGCTGCTGCTGCTGCCTTCACGGTCCATCCGGATTTTTCAACACCCGGAGAGGAAACTAATTTTCCTTTCTAACCACGATTAATCTTTCTGTCTGTCTGTAAACTAATGTTCCTTCCATCCATCCATAATGTTTAATACTCCTGTAGAAATACAAATCCTACACTTTTGTAGAAGTTGGGGGATCAACTTCAGCTTTTTACTCCAGTAAAAGTACAATTCTTTTAATTCTAAAACATTTCTGCAGGAAAAACTGCAGAAATGTTTTAAAACATTTTTCTATGATTCTAGATGATAACTTCCTTAGACTTTATTTTCTTAGTTTTATAACTAATGGTAAAAGTGTCACATTTAACTTTGCATCATCTGGAAAAACGATTTATTTTGGTATGTGGTGAGCAACAAGTTGGGGCAGCACCGAGTCCAACCACAAAGAGATTAATTACTTAATGGTTTTTATTTCTTTTAAACACCAACAGGCCAGGATGAAAATGAACTTAAATGAAACAAAACTAAAGAGACTATTTTTAAAATGTAAGGAGAAGTAAAAAGTTCTCTAAAAATAATTACTCCAGTAAAGTATAGATAGTAAAATATTACTATTCAAGTAAGGTAATGGAGTATTTGTGCATTGTTACTTGATACCTCTGTATTTATCTACCTATCTTCCATTATGTCCATAACAGACTGTCTTTGAATGCAGCACACACTGCCGCGTGCAGCGTGAGCGCGCTCCAGCTTCAGTGTTTGGGTGGGTCATGCAACACTACAGGGAGACAAGCAGCAATGATGGATGCACGGCCACGGTTATTTCAATCACTAAGTGACGTCAGCACTTTTATTTTCACTACAGACTTTAGATTTTGAATTAAGAAGTTTTCTAATTTTGATTTATAAAATAAAACCTAAATCTAAAGATCATAGACTTATAGGAACCTGCTGGTCCTGCATTGAATGCTGGGAAGCCTCTTCCCAGAGGGCAGCAGGGAGAACAGTCCATGGTGGGGGGGTGAGG